ATAGAGAAGACAGGGAAGCATAAAGGCAGGATTAGAGCTGCCATTATTATTTACCAAAGGAATATATATAGAGAAGAGATAGTAAAAGATCTAAAGTTAAAACCACTAAAGAAACATCCTGTGAAAGTAAAATAGTGAGAGAGAACAATTAAAAATGCATTCCTCTGGCTAGAATGAGTATTGGGTTGAAACATAACATCATATAACGGGTCACTGCACTGGGCCCGAGGGGTGTACCTTCCAAACAGAACAATGGGGTGTGGAGATCAGACCCACTGTTCCTTTGTCTTCTCAGAGCTGGAGTCTTCCTGAGGTGCAGAGACCACAGGTGGAAGCCCCATGTGCTTCTTACAAAGCTTACAGCGAATGACCCAAATCTAGGACCCCAGGAATCAGGAATGTGTCACTATAAGTCATTACAAGTTGTAAGCAGGCATGATGGGAATGGAGACAGCACAGCATCAGAGGTGTGGGACAGGACTAGCAGACAAGATGAGGACATACTCAAGGTTAGCCATTCCTGAGAGAAATTCAAGTCAAAACCCTCAAAACTGGTGAACTACACCCACCTGCCCTGGGTTACGTAGTCCTTTCCTATGACAGCAATTGATGCTGGATATCTTGACATACACGGAGCAATATATGTTACAAAAACTGTTTGTAGTGCTGCTGATTTGCATAAAACAAAGGTTGAGCCCCTCATGCTCTCTTAGGTATAACTGTTCATTCTGAAACAGCAGCTATTCTTGCTAATTAGGATCACACTGGTGGGCATATAGTGCTGACTTTTGCTTTGACATAACTTTTTCCAGGTTGGCCAAATGACAGCGCCTCTCTTCTGCTGTCTGTGTAGTCTAGTCAGAAGGCATGTGTGGGCTTTTGGGCAGGTCACAGATCTGGCTGGTTTCCAGACACCGTGAACCATTTAGCAGACAACTTGGTCAGTTTGCGGAAATGTAAGTGAATTTCATGGGCACAGACTTTCTTGCAATGCTTCTTTTTTCCTTCCCTTTTAGAAGATGTATCTGAGCTGCCAAGAAACTATTTTACAGTTATAGGCATTATTTTTGGTGTTTGTGAGGTCTGAGGGTAGGGAGCCCTGAAACAGCTTAGCCTACACTTTATGCTGACAGTTCCTTTTGCAAAAGTTGTTCTTTCAATATTTCGGCAAAGACACCTACCCTGTCATCTTCAGAACATGAGCAACTGTCTACATGAGTAGCAGTAATAATATTCAATGATATTTAAGTCTGTCTGCGGGCTAGCTGCAAAAACGAATTCACTATTTTCAAAAAATGGAAGTGAACGTTTCTGTAGTCTCGTTTTCTTCTATCACAAAGGCTCAGTTTACACAGCAGGATTTTTTCTCAAATGATGGGTATTTCAAATATAATACATCTCTCTGGAGAAAACAACTTTAATGGTTGCAAACTATCAAAATGGTCTTCTGAGATCATTACTAAGAAACATTAAGAAACTGAGGGTGGAGAGGAAAGACGAGAAATGAAATGAGACGTGGTTTGGTTAAGCAGTCAAACTCAACAAATTGTTTAAGGCCAGAGCAGACAGTAAGAAAAGGGGCAGGGGCAGCCAGCCAAGGCACAATTGGTTTCACCTGGAGCAACAGAGGAAGTCATAAGAGGAGGAGAATATGGAATGTGTGGCTAATTGCCTCCGTGAACAACAGCCTCCTCTGCCATGATGCCCAGCTATCATTACCAAACATTTTGATCAAAGACTCCATAGATCCCTAAAGGGGGAAATGCAGAAGTTTTAAATTCTCATGGACTCTAGACTTCCTGGAGCCATGAAGGGTAGATGAACCCCTGAAACTATTGCCCTGAGATAATCTTGAAGCCTTAAACCAAAAAATAAATAAATAAAATCCTCTAAACACCATTTTAAAATTGAACAAGTTTACCTTTAGTTAAAAAAAAGTCTGCATTGCGCACTATGTTCAAAAAGAACTCTCTCTCTGAGGTCAAACTGGTAACAACTCCAAAGATTAGGTAGGAAACTTAGGTGGCAGTGAATTTATGCTAATGGGGGAGGCACAACTCAGGAGGGTGAGGATGGCTGCACAACTCAAAGAATGTAATCAATGTCCCCTAAACGGGACATGTAGAAACATGAATTGGTGCATATTTTGCCCTGTATACTCTCAATAACAGAACTATTTAAAAAGCAATCTAACAGGAAAAGAGAAGGTGTGAAGGATGACAGGGAGAAAGTTCCTTCATTCTTGGACATTACAGAATGGGGACTAGGGCCAATGACATGAGACACAGAGGGAGATGCAGATGTTATGTAGGAAGGAGATGGGGGTGAGTCTCTAGGCCTTTAACTCTGCTGTATGACTTGATAGGCTGGAAATCAAACGAGTATGTTCAAGAGCAGCTCTCTTTCTAGACTGGACCTCAATTCTAAGCCAACACGTGTGAGCTTTCTCCTTCTCCCCACCCCAGCAATCCTACTTAAAACTCTTGCACGGGCTGCTTCTTGATACATCTGAGTACCTTGTGGTGCTGGGCGGTATGCCCATGACTTTAAACAAGGATTTAAAAAAAAAAAAAAGCAGGAGCTCTCCTAAGTAAGGTGTCCAAGAAGTACAGAGATGATAAAAATCGAGGCAGTGACTGTTATTCTCTGTGGATAACTAAACAGAAATATTAAAATGGGATTTAAAATGCATCCAAGAATGATTATCTGCATTAGCAATGAGGCAGATCCAGTGTGCTGCTGAGGCACGGGAATGTGTTCAAAAGGACCATCTTAGTCTAATCATCACACCCTTCCCCTACAGTGGAGTCAAGAGGAGGATAATCCCTTACTTTGCAAAGGCAGATACAGAGGCAGCTCTAGATCTTAGCCCGGGTTATGCTACAAGCGAAGAAAAACCAGTAGCACCAGCACCATGTGGTCCCTCTAAGAATGAAGTGGTATCCTAGTATTTATGGTGCAAGACCACGTGAACAATGGTCTTGGTTCCTCTCAAAATCAGCACCCCACTTGACCATGCAGTATTTTTCATACTGTAAAAAAAAAAAGAGCGAGCTGGAAAAACATGGGGAGCAACATGCAGATAACCGACTTCTTATGCTCCTTCCGCAGAGCTTGGGGCTGGTGCCTTCTCCGTTCCTGGTGTGGCTGGCTGGCTGTTGTCCGACCGCTTCTGACTCATGGTGACCGCATGTGTGAGTACAACTGCTCCAGAGGGTTTCCAAGGCTGTGGCCTTTCGGAAGCCGAGCACCTGAGGCGCTTCTGGGTGGGTTCAGCTGGCCAACCTTTGGCTAGTAGTCAAGAGTTTTAACTGTTTACACGGCCCAGGGACTCCTTTTCCATTCCTAATAATCTTTAATGCGTTTAACTTTGTGTCAATCTTAAGGGCGTAACACACTTGAAGGGACAAAATGTCTTAGCTAGTGTTTCTCAGCCAGCGTGAGGGTGGCACAGGACCGGGCAGTGTTTTGTTCAGTTGTACATAAGGTGGCTATGAGTCAAAGCCGACTCGACGGCACCTAACAACATCATCTACCAAAAGAAGTAACTGAGGCTGGCTCTCAAGGATAAAAATCCCTCCCCGCTCCCTCCTATTTTAATCTCCCTGGGGAAGCATAAAAATCTTAACTTTACTGAAATGCACTATTTTCCACAGAGGAATCACATGCATGACGGCTGACACATGCAGATCGGTAGAGGGGGAGGTTAGGTGGGTCTGTCTCTGTCCCTCATTTCTCTTAGACTAAGATGCTGATTTTATTAGCACTGAAATAAGAAGGAAAAAAAATTACATGGGAAATAAGCCATAAAGCCTCCTCAGGCTGAACCTTGTGTGTCTACGCAGCCATGTCTGGGCGGGAAGAATCCGAGGTACAACCACCAGAGTCAAAGCTTATTCTCCTGGATGTAGGCAAATCTCACTTTAATTGCAAAAGCCTTCATTTATAACACATTCAGTAATGAACAGAGCTGCTGCCTTTTGAGCAAGCAGATGGATGTATAAAAGTCCCTTGAAGTTCAAGTAGTTAAGATAAGAGCATTCAACAGGGAAAGCAACCTTCAGTTTCCAGAGGCTGTTTTACATTTGAAAAGATAACTGGGCATACTCAGAAGTTCAAAGCACTACGAGATACCTTCAAAAGACAGAGAAGAAACCCCTTTTTCATATTAACAGGCAAATACATATCAGCAGTTACACTTGATAAAATGAGCTGGAAAGCTGGACGTCCTCTTTGAAACAGGCTAGGGCAGGACACTTCGTAAGAGGGCCCCGGGAGAGGGCAGGAAACCAGACGCAGCACAGACGGCACGCGGTGCCAACCACATCAACTCACACCCCAGACACGGGCTGTACAAGAGCAGCCCCCAGTCAGTGCTCTTATTGGCGAGTGCCATCTAATGGTCTTAATTAGCCCACGGAGAAAATCCTTAACCAGAAAATTCAAACTGTCACTGAAGTTATAAAGACTCTTATGGAAATTCTTACAACATATTGATAAGGATGCCTATTTACCTAATTAGTGCAATAATTACACAATTAAATTCCTGTTCTGTTAAGGGTTTGTCCTATACAATGGAATGGTTTAAGAAACACACAGTTGAATTTTGACTTTATTTTACACTTTCAAAAGGGACACAGAGAACAGAGAGAAAAAGTGTGACTAATTCCCCAACTCTGGGGTCCACTCGGTTCAAAAGCAGACTTCTCTGACACAAGGTCGATCCAGTTTCAGGACGTTTCAATGCCAAAGGAAGGCAAGTGAAGCCTCTTACACTCCCAACCCCCAGGGAAAGAACTCTACAGCTAATCTATCACAGTGCACTAGCTAAAGCCTATGTTTAAAACTACAGAGGGTTTTAACTTAACATCTAAATTTTAAAACTAGCATTTCAGCAACAAACAATCTCAGAGAGCTTGTCTCAGAAGTGAAAGAAGTATTGCTCAGATGTCCGACGTCAAGCTGCCGCTCTGGGCTCCGCACCCTGCACCGCTCCAGGCCTAGGCGGCCACATATGGAGGTGGTGGCTCCTTGGCAGCGCCAGTCACAGCGGCATCGTCATATGGGGGTAACAGCACCTGAGGAGAAGGAAAAGGGAAAACAAGGATGAGTGGTTTGTAAGTGTAAATACATTTCCTCAAGGTTCCACTGGATTGCACTTCATATACAATTAAACATTTGCTATAATCTGTACCAACTTCCATTTTCCAGCAAGTAGATCTAATTTGATGAAAGACTTTTTGAACCCTTAAAGGGGAGGGACTTTCTAGCCTTTCTGAGTTTTCCTAACCCCGTCCGCATGTTAGAGCATAGCATCTATATGGCCAGAGGACAAGGGGGAAGGTGGTGGTGATGCAGAAGAGGAAAAGGCCTGTTGGGTAAGTGCATGTATGCACGCATGCACAGCTGCAGACTAAGCAGGGCCTTGACTCACTACGGAACCCCTCATGGGGAGGTCCGGATGGCACAGTATGAAATGCAAAGGCTCTGGTATCAATCTGGACTCAAGGCCTGGTTCAGCCAAGTTCTATCAGTGTAGCCTTGGATAAGTAATTTAACCCCCTTCCCATGCTTGTGAAATAGGGAACCTGAGAAGTACCAGTTCAACCAGCTCCAACTCGTGGAGACCCCATGTGTGTCAGAGCAGAAATGTGCCCTGTAGAGTTTCAACGACTGATTTTTCAGAAGTGGGTTGCCAGGCCTTTCTTCCAAGGTGCCTCTGGGTGGACTTGAACCAACCTTTTGGTTAGTAGCAGAGGGTGTTAACTGCATCACCCAGGGACACCTGAGAAACAGAGATCTACAGAAAAGAAAGCACCTGGTACACACCTGAAATGGCAGACATTATGTTATTATTTGTAAATGGCTGGAGAGGAACTAACAAAAACAAGCTCTACCTTTATTAATCACCTTTTCATTTACATTTCAAGTACAAAAGCAATAGCTTGTTTTTATTTATAACCTTTAACATAAGAAAACATTGGCCAAATGTGGCTTTCTTTTTTTTTTTTCTTAACATTGGAGATAATTTATTTATTTAGTTAGTTAGTTAGTTTTTCTTTTTTTTTCGGTGAAGATTTACAGAGCAAATTCACTTTCCATACAGCAGTTCACATATACTTTGTGTCATGTCATTGACCACAGTTTACCACAATGCAACAGCTCCCCTCCCACTTCCTCCCCATAGTTACCTCTTCCCAGTGTCCATCCCTCCATACTCT